GATCTGCCATTCGCAAAGCTAGTTGCAGAGTCAAGGAAGACGGTGGAATTTTGGCACAGGAACAGCACATACATCATGGTTTGCTGGGCTTTTACATATTGCATGAATTTGTATCTAATGATATTAAGTAGTCTTTAACTTACGATCATAGCTGAGCCCGCAATTTCAATAATACGGTGTGATGGTAGAAAAGCAGATCATCATGTGATGGCACCTGATTGTATGACCATTTTTGTGGTTGTCATTAGGCAAACGCCATGGTGATTAAGCAAACCCACTGTTTGTTAGGGGGCATTTTTTTTCTGAAAACCAGAGGTAAATGCTAGAGAAAGAAAGAAAGAAAGAAAGAAAGAGGGAGGGAGGGAGGGAGGGAGGGAGGGAGGGAGGGAGGGAGGAAGGAAGGAAGGAAGGAAGGAAGGAAGGAAGGAAGGAAGGAAGGAAGGAAGGAAGGAAGGAAGGGCCAACATCGAAATTCCAAATCCAGGTCGTAAGACCCTTTTTTGGAGTCTGTTGTAACTTTTAATAGTCACTAAGCAACCAGTTGTAAGTCAAGGACTATTCGTGTGAGGGGGATGATTTTAAGACAATTAAACTGGCAGTAAATTATATCCACTGTCATCATCATCATCATTTCAGCCATTGTCTATCTACTTCAGGAGGAAGGCCTCTTCCTCATGTTTCCAATCAATATGGTTCTGAGCTTTCTTTTGCTAGTTGGACCTGCAATCCTTGCTGAGGTCGTCAATTTCACCTTCTTTTAGGTCTCTTCCTTGGATGCATTTTATCAAGGGGGATCCATTCTATGACTTCCTCGGTCCACCTGCCATCAGTTCTTCTTACTATGTGACCAGCCCTGGTTCCATTTCAATTCTTCTACTCTTTTGATGCCATCATATACTTTCATTTGTGCTCTAATCCATGTGCGGGTCTTTCTGTCTCGTCTTACAATGCCGAGCATGTATCTTTCCATAGGGAAATAAGTCACTCGAAACTGGCTCTCAGGTATACAAGACAGAACTAAGCTTCAGAACTGCTTGAAGCGTTGCCAGGCCAAATCCTAGTCGAGATCATATTAACTTAAATTTTTACTGACACAGAGTGGATTGCCAATCAATGTTCTTCTTCCCAGCACAAAATCCCATTTACTGACGTTTGTCTCTTGCAAATTTGGTGTTCTCCATACGAATTAAGCTGCAACCTCTATACAGGTACAACCATAACTGAGCCCAACATTTCTGTTGCTAAGCAAAACAGTTAACTGAGGTTTTGCCCCCATTTTACCAGCTTTCTTGCCACAGTTGTTAAGTGAATCACTGAAATTGTTAAGGTAGCAACACGGTTGTTAAGTGAATCTGGCTTCCCCATTGACTTTGCTTATCAGAAGGTTGCAAAAGGGGATCACAGGACCCCGGGACGCTGCAACTATGAACCAGTTGCCAAGCATCGGAATTTTGATCACGTGACCATGGGGATGCTGCAACTATCATAAATGTGAAAAAATGGCCATAAGTCACTTTTTTCAGTCCCATTATAACTTTGAACAGTCAGTAAACAAATGGTTGCAAGTCTAGGGCTATTTGTAATCTCCTGTTGTCATGGCCCCATCAATGGAGGCCACCAGCCTAGAGAAGTCTGATTTTTAAACATGCAACCAGTTTTTATATTTAAAAAAACCTAAATATGATCTCCCTACATAATTCATGAGTTTTCACAATTACATTGTACCTGTTTGGGAAATAGCACAGCAACAGGATCTTGGTTAAGCAATTATAAAAAAACAATTTTATGACTGTTTCCTTAAAACAGCACATAGTATTTGTGATGATGCTCCCTTATTCAACCTTTCTAGGATACGCTGTTAGTACCGCAGTTTTGCACAGGAAGAATGCAGGGATGTTGTAATGTTCGAACATTAATTCTGTCAGTTTTTCACGCTTTGCTCTAATGTTCCACTAAAAAGCACAGAGAAAATAATCAAAATACAAAATTATTATTTATGACTCAAGAAGCAGAATACTGACATTTTTCGATTATTTCCTCCCCAATTCCTTACAAACTGGGTAACCAGATTTATAAATATCTGTCAGACTGAAGTAGATTAAAATAAGTTTTACTCTCTCAATCACAGAATATACAACTATTTCTAATTTTAGGTATTGCCACAGAATCGTGATTCTTTTATAAATATATTTTGCAAAACTTCCAAAAAGACAATCTCATAACTATAAATACAGAGACATATCCATTCTACAGTTTGGGGGAATGTGCAAAGAAAAAAAAATTAAAACATAAATTTTCTCTAAAAAAATTAAAACAAATTACCTGGCTAGTTAATGAACTAAAAGTAGAAGAAGTGGCATGCTTTAATTATTTGGAGATGATTTTTCAGACTGTTATACGTTATATAAAAGTACTGGGAATGTCTGAAAGAGTATCATGTTACTTTTCCGTACTAGAGGAAACTCACTAATCCCAGCTGCGTTACTTGCCCAAATCTTATATGGAGCTGAACTTGAACCAGGCTCCATATTAATCATTTTTGAGACCTTCCTGGTCAAAACTTCTAGAAAAAAAAAAAAGCTTCATGTAGCACATATCCGATATTCTAGTTTAAAAAGCCAGATATCTGGGCAAGAAACCTGATTGGTTCTTTGAAATAAATAAAACTGATTTTTACTCACTGGTGCTTCAGACATTAAAACAGGATGCAATGAAGCTTCAGATTTAATGTGCATCTTATAGGTATGATCCAGGATGGCTTGGAAACTATCCCAATCTTCAACTGTAACAATATAAAATGAATGCAGCTTCTGTCGGTGGAATGTAATCTGCTTGTTGCATGCATGTTTTTAATACAAGGTTCAGCGTGAAAATATGAGCAGTCCATCGACATAGGAAGATAGAGGACTGACAAAATTGTAACAACCCCCCCAAAAATAAACCACTTAACAGACCAAAATTAATAAGAGTTTTGGATTATAAATGTATTATTGCACAATGAATGGAAAAAAATAGTATATTAGGTTTGTTTTGACTATGATAAGCATGTGCCATGAGTACTTTTAACAATGGTTCAATGAATATGTCATGGTTCCGACAGATGAAACTCTTCAAAAGAACTTCGAGGCATTGTTTACCTTAAAGAATCTTTATTTTGAGTAGCATAATATCGGCACTGCATAATCGAAGCCAAAAACTGAATTCCCCTCCCCTGAGCTCATAGTATCAAAGCACAATTCCCTCCTCCAATTAACAGTCATAAATCACATTCCCCAACTAGCTTGAAGCAGGGGCCTCCTCTCCAGTTCTCCAGCCCCCAATTCCTTATCAGCTCTAGTTACAATAACCTTGTTTCTCGTGATAGATTTAGTATTGTTATGTCTAGCTGGACTCTCGTTCACATCCCCCCTCCCAGCATCATTTAACTCTAAAAGCAAAAGGTAAAAGATGGCTGCAGTTCCATCTGTTGTCAATGCAAAAACATCCGATGTTAGCAGCGTTGACAGAATATACCCAGATGGATTGAGTTCCTATAACAGATGAAGTAAGCACTGACCCGTGACCGTAATTGATCCGAGAATTATGGCTGTCACTGGGATTAGGTGAGTCACCATGTGACAGTGTTTGATTTTAAATCCCTTTTTGCTATAGTCATTAAGCAAACCTGTTTTCTTTCATGGGCATGTTTTGCCAGAAATGGGAAGTCAACACCACAAACCAGCAAAACAAAAATTGCCAAAAATCGCAGTCACTGCAAATGGCCATAAATGTGAGCTGGTTGCCAGGCACACAAAGTCCAATCCCATGACTGCCAGGAGTAGGCATCAGAACTCCAGAACTGGGTCTTAAGTAGCTCTGGGGAGGTCTGTTGCAACTTTGGTCTCTAAGCGACCAGTCATTAAGTGAGGATTACCTGGAACAAACAACGCATGTTATGACTAATGCAATATATGACCTCAATCTATGTCTGAACAGTTAAGAACTAGTAGAAAGCAAGGTATCAAAGTTTAAGTATTGAATAAACCTCAAGCAAAGCAATCTTTCTTAATCTACCAGTTGGTGAAGTCTCATTGGCATCTCTTATTTGGAGGGACAGCATAATTGGGCAAGTCGAACTATACTTTCAGAAGGCATTTAAGATTTTACCCAGGTTAGGATAAGAAAACCACTGTAATGGATAATCATGATTCAATATTTATCTCTGAACTGAATCACCGTCTTTTACCTTAAACAGGAGGGAGAATAACCACAGGATAGAACAAACTATACAAGAGAGTTTTTCTCCCAAATGCTGATATTTAATTAGAGTTACATCTTCTCTATAGCAATTTATAAAAAAAAATCACAAGGTTTCCTTGGAAACCATTATTTCAGACTAAGTCTATATAATAAATGAAAGAAAAAGGAAAGATACAAGGATACAGGTAGTCCTTGACTTACGACCACAATTGAGTACAAAAATGTCTCTGGTTAAGTGAGACATTTGTTAAGTGAGTTTTTCCCATTTCACAACCTTTCTTGCCATAGTTGTTAAGTGAATCACTGAAGTTGATAAATTAGTAACCTGGTTGTTAAGTGAATCTAGCTTCCCCACTGACTTTGCTTGTCAGAAGGTTGCAAAAAGTGATCACATGACCTTGGGACACTGCAACG